GCAGTATTCCAAGTGTGGCCTTACTAAGGCATTGTAAAGTGGTATTAATACTTCACGTGATCTTGATTCTATCCCTCTGTTAATGCAGCCCAGCACTGTGTTGGCTTTTTTGGCAGCTGCAGCACACTGCTGGCTCATATTTAAGTGATTGTCCACTAGGACTCCGAGATCCCTCTCACAGTTGCTACTATTGAGCAAGATACCTCTGATTCATTAAGCCAAGCTTGATTTCTTTTTCTTTCAGCTGCTAGCTGGCCCTACTCTTGATCTGTCTGACTGTTCACTTGTTTAATGGCCGCTGTTCTTCCAGGTTCACCTTCCCAACCAATGCAAGGCAGGGGGCCTCCGGCTGGCTTCTGAAGACCTAGAGAAAGAACCAAGGCCCAAGGACCCCAAAGAGTTGAAGAAAGACCCCAACGCCTGCTTTTTTGAAGGTCAACATCGGCCCCACGGCTCCCGCTGGGCCCCCGATTACGACAAGAAGTGTTCCGTATGTACCTGTCAGGTAGGTGGGAAGACTGCGGCAAAACATGCACAGGTAGTCCTTGACTTACGACCACGATGGAACACAAAATTTCTGTTGCTAAGCGAGACAGTTGTTAGAACAGAACAGAACAGAACAGAGCAGAACAGAACAGAACAGAACAGAACAGAACAGAACAGAATAGAATAGAATAGAATAGAATAGAATAGAATAGAATAGAGCTGGAAGGGACCTTGGAGGTCTTCTAGTCCAGCCCCCTGCTCAAGCAGGAGAACCTATACCATCTCAGACAAGTGACTGTCTAGTCTCTTCTTAAAAATCTCCAGTAATGGAGCGCCCACGATTTCTGGGGGCAAGCTGTTCCACTGATTAATTGTCCTCACTGTCAGGAAGTTTCTCCTTAATTCCAGGTTGCTTCTCTCTTTGATCAGTTTCCAACCATTGTTTCTTGTCCTACCCTCTGGTGCTTTGGTAAATAACATGACCCCCTCTTCTTTGTGGCAGCCCCTCAGATACTGGAACACTGCTATCATGTCTCCCCTATTTCTTCTTTTCTTTAGACTAGCCAAACCCAAGTCCTGCAGCCGTTCTTCATATGTTTTAGTCTCCAGGCCTTTGATCATCTTAGTTGCTCTTCTATTAACTTAACAACTGCAATGATTCACTTAAGAACTGTGGCAGGAAAGTGTGTAAAATGGGGCAAAATTCGCTGAACAAATGTCTCACTTAGCCACAGAAATTTTGAGCTCAGTTGTGGTTGTAAGTCAAGGACTCCCTGTATATAAAAATAATCATTATGCTTCGAAAGTGTGAGCGGCCACAGCTCCCTGGACAAGAATTACTTGGAGTACAGTTTAATTTGGCTGCTGCAAAACTTTCCTTTCTCTTCGAGAGCCATCCCAATTCCTTATATGTGATTTTTTTTTACTTATTTTATTGATTCACAACATTTCTACAGACCACTCTAGGCGGCTCAAATTAAATGCTTCCTTAGAACATCTGTCAGTTGCAAAATATGGGTGACCTGGAAGAAGATATGGGCCCCTTTTGTCCACGCTCTGTGGATTGACCTTGGTCTGCAGCACTTATTTCTCCACCTTAGTGACTTTAAGATGGGTGGACTTCAACTCCCAGAATTCCCCAGCCAGCTGTGAAGGATCCACCCAGGAAGAACCGTGGAAGTTGGTAATGAAAATCAGCGGGGTCTAGAGAGGGGCAGAGTCGTTCAGCACACCTTGGCAACTTTTATAGAAAGATTTTAAGAAGGAATGGCGGGTTTTTAAGAAGAGGCATTTGCCTGAAATGATATAGAGCAGGGGTCTTCAAACTTGGCGACTTTAAGACTTGTGGACTTCAACTCCCAGAATTCCTCAGCCAGCTGTCACGGTTCTGACAGATGAAACTCTTCAAAGAACTTTGAGGCATTGTTTACCTTAAGAATCTTTATTCAAGAAACACAACATCGGCACTAACATAATCGAAGCCAAAAACTGAATTCCCCTCCCCTGGGCACATAGTATCAAAGCACAATTCCCTCCTCCAATTAACAGTCATAAATCACATCCCCCAATTAGCTTGAAGCGCAGGCTTTCTCCCCAGCTCTCCAGCTTGCCAAACCTCTATCAGCTCTGGCCCCAATGACCTTGGGTTCCCACGGCTGAGTTATTATTGTTATGACTAGCTGGACTCTCATCCACATCCCCCCTCCCAGCATCATCTTCTAACTCTAAAAGAGAAAGGGAAAAAATGGCTGCATTTCCATCTGTTGTCAATGCGAAAACATCCGGATGTTAGCAGCGTTGACATTAGCCCTGAGGGCTGGCTGAGGAATTCTGGGAGTTGAAGTCCACAGGTCTTAAAGTCGCCAAGTTTGAAGACCCCCCTGATATAGAGTTTCCTGCTTGAGCAGGGGGTTGGGCTAGAACAGGGCTTTTCAACCTTTTCACCCATTGTACCACTTTTAGGATATGGCAACATCCGAGTACCACCAGTCGCCTAGCAAGGTGTCAAAAACTTGATGACCCCCCCCAAAAGGAAAAAAGTGATAAAGTACAGGTAGTCCTCGACTTACAACAGTTCATTTAGTGACTATTCAAAGTTACAATGGCACTGAAAAAAGTACCCCCCAAGCCACAGCTGAGCAAGACACCTGCCTGCCTGCCCGGCGGCATTCTTCCTCCTGTCCGAGGTTTCCATTGTTGTGAGCATTTTTGTTGAGGATTGGCAGAGGGGGGGGGTGGGGGGTGTTTGATTTTTATTCCCCCCCCCCGTTTGCTGGGTGGTTGCAGCAGGTTTTGGTCACTTCACATGACCCTGGGACATTGTGACCGTCATAAATATGAATCAGTTGCCAAGCATCTGAATGTAAATCACAAGACCCTGGAGATGCTGCAACATTCCAGCTGATTGGCGCTTCTTCAGGGCTCAGCGGAAGCACCAGGATCAGCGCCGAGCTCCAGCTGGAGCCTGACGCTGATCCTGGCGCTTCCACTGAGCCCTGTCAGCCCCGAAGAAGCGCTGATCAGCTGGAAAACGGTACTGATCCTGGCGCTTCCGCTGAGCCCTGACAGCCCTGCAGCTCCATCCGTCTCTCGCTCAGGCTTGTGCCGTGCTGCCACCAGTTCAGCTCATTCCCCTCCCCTGCTACCATTTTTCTAGGATGGTTGCGTACCACCTGCCAGGTGCCAATGTACCACAGGTGGTACCCGTACCACTGATTGAAAAGCCCTGGGCTAGAAGACCCCCCCCCCCAAGGTCCCTCCTTGTTCTTCAGTCATTCTGCAAGCAAACTCAGCCCAAGTGGAGAATAAAATCCTGCTTTGCCAGTTCTAATCGCTCTTCCTTCTGTTGTTGTTTTTTCCCCCTTCTCTCCTTCTGGTTCCGCAGAAGCGCACAGTGATCTGCGATCCGGTCTTGTGCCAGCCTCTCAACTGCTCTGAGCCAGTCCATCAAAGTAACCAGTGCTGCCCTGTGTGCCAAGGTAACCTGGGCAGGGCAGGATTAAGCCTGTGGACGGTCAAGCTGCCCAAGGAAGGCCTGGGAAGAGGGAAGGGCCCCCCCCCTTGCAGGGGAGGGTATCTGCCCCAATCACAGCCAATCCTGTTTTTTTCCCCTCCTGCCCATAATGCATCTATGCATCCTCTCTCCTTGAACAGAGGGAAACGAAGAACAGAGAAGAGCCGAGAAAATCCGAGACAGCAGCGAAGGTAAGGGCAAGAGCGGCTGGCTGAGCATTATGGGTCTTCTGCAACAGCAAATTCTCTTTAGGTTTCAAGAGTTGGACCGGCCCTCAAGGGTGCCAAGAGATTTTGTACACGTACCACGGAGCCCATGGGCGGAGGGGGGAGAGGGGTCCTTAATTATTGCTCAGGGTCAAGTTGTCATCGGAGCTAAATTCATTGTTCCAGTTTTTATTAACAGGAAGATTATGTTAGGGCTTTATGGGATGGTCTAATGCAGGGGTCTCCAGACGTGGCCACTCTTAAGACTTGTGGACCTCAATTCCCAGAATTCCTCAGCCAGCCATGTTGCCTGGGGAATTCTGGGAGTTGAAGTCCACAAGTCCTAAAGTTGGCCAGGTTTGGAAACCCGTGGTCTAGTGAACCCAACATACTAAGGCCATAGCTAGTTTCTATAACTGTGAACTGCCCGAGCCACTTTAGGCTGGACCAGGGATGGGGAACCTTGGCTCTTTTATGACTTGTGGACTTCAATTCCCAGAATTCCTGAGTCAGCATGGCTGAAGTCCACAAGTCATAAAAGAACCAAGGTTGCCTACCCCTATCCTAGGCTATCCCATAGCCTCAACCATTCCCTGCATTCCAAGTATTGACTAGATCTAATCCTGATTTGTTTTTTTGAGCTTAGCCAGGGCTTACCCAAGAACAGATGAGTCTTGGGGGCTACAGCTCCAACAGTTATGATCTATGTTGCCTTTAAGATTTAAGGCAGCTGCCCTGATCCTGTTTCTCTATCTTAGGATGCTATTTTGATGGTGACAAGACGTGGAGACGAGCGGGCACGCATTGGCATCCTGTAGTTCCCCCGTTTGGACTCATCAAATGTGCGATTTGTACCTGCAAGGTAGGAGGGGAACATCAACCAGACAACCGAAAGGCTTAAGCCAGCTATTGAGTTAACCCAGTTCCTGCATTTGCCCAGTCAGTTGAAACTATAAACAAACTTAATGGAGTGGAATTGGGCACCATATGAAACTCCAGAAAAACGAACAGAACTTTGTATGTTGGGCAAAGATCTAGCTGATCTGATTACATGAGGTTTGGAAACCCCAGCCCAGATGTTCCTCAGTCTTCCTCAATGGTTTCATTTTCATCGGACAGGTAAACCTGTTGCAGGAAACTAAGTATGTCTAGTGTAACAAAGAGAAGGACGAGGGGGGACATGATAGCAGTCTTCCAATATCTCAGGGGCTGCCACAAAGAAGAGGGAGTCAAGCTCTTCTCCAAAGCGCCTGAAGGCAGGACAAGAAGCAACGGGTGGAAACTAACCAAAGAGAGAAGCAACCTAGAACTAAGGAGAAACTTCCTGACAGTTAGAACAAATAATCAGTGGAACGGCTTGCCTTCAGATGTTGTAGATCAGGGGTCTTCAAACTTGGCCCTTTTATGACTTGTGGACTTCAACTCCTAGAATTCCTCAGCCAGGAATTCTGGGAGTTGAAGTCCACAAGTCATAAAAGGATCAAGTTTGAAGACCCCCGTTGTAGATTCTCCATCACTGGAGATTTTCAAGAAGAGACTGGACAGGCATTTGTCCAGAATGGTATAGTCTCCTGTTTGAGCAGGAGGTGGGACTAGAAGATCTCCAAGATCCCTTCCAGCCCTATTATTCTATGTTCCTGGCCTGCAATGTATGAGGTTCTCCATTTAGCAAACCAACACAGATCTCAAGGAGAAGAGTTCATAGAATCACAGAGTGGACGTTGAGGCTCTCAAGTCCAGCCCAAAAGAAGCATTTATGGTGGATGGTGGTCCAGAACCTGCATGAACACATTCAGTAAAGGAATGTTCACTTGATGATGCTTTGGGACAGTGCTTCTCAACCTTGGCAACTTTAAAATGTGTGGACTTCAATTCCCAAAATAAAGTTGTCAGGATTGAGAAACACGGCTTTGGAGGATCTTTGAGTTTTGACAGCTATAATGGTGCATGCTTTGGTTTTCTCCCGCCTAGATTTTATTACAGTCTCATGACAGGTGTTCCTGATCCCTCCCTCCATCCTCTGAATTAGTCCTCATGGTCAAAATTCAGACGCTTGGCAACTGGCATGTACTTATGACGGTTGGAATGTCCCGGAGTCATGTGATACTTTGTGCAACCTTCTGACAAGCAGAGTCAATGGGGAAACCAGATTCATTTAACAACCGTGTTCTAACGGAACAACTACAGTGATTCACTTAACCACTGTGGCAAGAAAGGTCGTAACATGGAGCAAAAATGCCCTTAGCAAATGTCTTGCCTAGGAACAGAAATTTTGGGCTCAGTCGTGGTCATAAGCCGAGGACCACCTGTTTAAGGTGTTCTGGTTCTTTGTCTGCTATTTCCCATTTGTGTTTGCACAGGGAGCCACGGGGGAAGTTCACTGCGAGAAGGTGCAGTGCCCCCAGTTGGCCTGCAGTAACCCCATCCGGGTCAACCCATCTGACTGCTGCAAGCAATGCCCAGGTATGTCAAACCTGTCAGAAGCACCTTGCTTCGCTTGCTAGCCAGCCCGCTGGTCGCAGCACAGCGGGACAAAGGCAATCCCTTCACCTTGTGACGTCACACCAAACTTAAGATGAGGAAATGATTCCCTCAGGAGCAGCCCCCACTTCCTCAAAACGCTCCTTACAGAGAAGTCCTCGAGTTACAACTGTCATTGAGTCTGGCAAATACGGGTGTATCTCATGGAGGTCACAAAGCGGATCACCGCAAGACTGTGGACCTGTTTTTAACCACCGTTTTTGGGGTGGCGGTTATGTGAACGGGGCAGTTGCTCCATCTCCCAGTCCTGCGGGGCTGGGGAATTCTGGGATTTGAAGTCCACCCATCTTCAAGTTGCTGAGTTGGAGAAACCTTGTTGTAAGTTATGCCCAGCAAAGTGGTGGTGATTCGGGACTTTGGAGGTGCAGTGTTTTAAGAATTCAGGAGTGCAGGCTGACTCTGCCGACTGCCAGGAGTTCGATCCTGACGGGCTCAGTGTTGACTCGGCCTTCCGTCCTTCCGAGGTCGGTAAAACGAGGACCCAGATTGTTGGGGGGCAAGTATGCTGACTGTGGTGGGAGTTAGTTAGACATAACAATATTGTACTAGTGTGTGAATTCAGAGCTTGAAATAAGAGATGATAAGAATTGGCGGGTTGCAGAACAGGAGGGAAAGCCTGCATTTCAAACTAATTGGAGAATGTGATTTATGACTATTAATTGGAGGAGGGAATTGTACTTTGATACTATGTACTCAGGGGAGGGGAATCCAGTTTTTGGCTTCAACTACAGTATGTTAGTGCCGAAGCTATGCTTCTCCTATAAAGATTCTTTAAGGTATACAATGCCTCGAAGTTCTTTGAAGAGTTTCATCTGTCGGAACCATGACATTAAGTCTAAATGCTATGGCTATTCTAGCCAATATTCTCCTCTTCTGCTCTTTCCATGTTCTTCATACTCTGCCATTTCTCCCCAGCCTCGGAGAAGACCTCATCCCTGCTTTCCGACATGATGCAGGCTGACGGCCCCCGAGCTTGCAAGTTCGGGCGGCAGTGGTACATGCACAACGAGAGTTGGCACCCTACAGTGCCCCCTTTTGGAGAGATGAAGTGCATCACCTGCTGGTGCCTGGTGAGTATGGAGGCATCGGGTGACAGCAAGCGCTGGGAATTTCACGGCCAACTTCAGCGGGTAGCTTGGAGACGGGAATGTCTCTCTCTTAGGAGATGGCTGGTATCCCAGCGGGTGGAAGAAACATATAGGTAGCCTGTCAACGCTGCTAACGTCGGACGTTCTTGCTTTGACAACATATGGAGATGCAGCCGTTTTCCTTCTTCTGTTTTACTCTTAGAATTAGAGTTAGAATTAGATGATACTGCGTGGGAAGAGGAGGAGGAATATGCATGGGAGTTTAGTTAGACACAACAATACTGTAACTAGGGTGTGAACCAAGTTTTTTTGAAATAAGAGATGATAAGAAATGGCGGGTTGAAGCACCGGAGGGAAGGTCTGCATTTCAAACTAATTGGAGAATGTGATTTATGACAGTTAATTAGAGGAGGGAATTGTGCTCGATACTATGTGCTCAGTGGAGGGGAATTCAGATTTTGGCTTAATGTCATGGTTCCGACAGATGAAACTCTTCAAAGAACTTCGAGGCATTGTTTACCTTAAAGAATCTTTATGTTAAACAATGCCTCGAAGTTCTTTGAAGAGTTTCATCTGTCGGAACCATGACATAGCCTTGACTTAAAACAGGTCGTTTAGTGGCTGTTCAAAATGGTGACCTAGAGGAAGATTCGGCTCTGAAATTGGACAAACAATAGACTTTACGCTGTCTACACAGAAAGCCCTTATTACCTCTGTAAATTACTTCTATAAAACTCTATGATGGAGTTAATAGGTCTGGTTGTTGCCAAGACAGACATTTCTGGGCCGTTAATATTGGCATAATGTGAATATAATTCACAGGTGATATATTCTGCAGCTACGTTTTTTCCAACTTGTCTGGAATAAGGGGGACCAAATTCCAGAGTCTGTTCCCACAACACATTTAAAATGGGTCACAGGTAAGGTATTGGGGGAAGAACAAAAGGAGTCAACTAACTAAATCAGGGGTAGACAACCTTGGCTCTTTTATGACTCGTGGACTTCAACTCCCAGAATTCCTGAGCCAGCCATGCTGAGGGGAAAGGGAGAGGTTTCCAAGCTGAGCCATCCTGGCTCAGGAATTCTGGGAGTTGAAGTCCACGAGTCATGAGGGGGCCATAGTTCCCCCAGGCTGGCTCAGGAATTCTGGGAGTTGAAGTCCAGGAGTCATGAAGGGGCCATAGTTCCCCCATGCTGGCTCAGGAATTCTGGGAGTTGAAGTCCACGAGTCATAAAAGAGCCACGGTAGCCTACCCGTGGACTAAATTAACCCTCAGGGGTCAATATTAACCCCAAAGAAATCTAGTCTTGCAGAGGGTTAAAATAACCCAGTTAGTTATACTGCAGAAAACAGCAGCCTCCAACCCCAAAAGAGGAGAAGAACTGAAGCCGTTTTCCAGAACCAGTCTAGAGGTAGTCCTCGACTTACAACAGTTCATTTAGTGACCGTTTGAAGTTACAACAGCACTGAAAAAAGTGACTGATGGCCGTTTTTTTCACACTTAAGTTCGCCGCAGAATCCCCCGCGGTCACGTGATCGAAATTCAGCCGCTTGGCAACTGGCTCATATTTACGACTGTCGCAGTATCTCCTCCGGGGTCACGCGGCCCCCTTTTGCGACCTTCGGACAAGCCAAGTCAGTGGGGAAAAAGCCGGATTCGCTGAACAGCCGTGTTCCTCACTTAACAACTTCAGTGATTCACTTAAACAACCGTGGAAAAGAAAGGTTGTAAAATGGGTCAAAAACTCACTTAGCAATTGCCTCACTTAGCAACAGAAATGTTGGGCTCGGCTGTGGTCGTAAGTCGAGGGCTGCCTGTATTTCAGCCTGCACGATCTGAAAAGTGTGCCGTCCAATTGTTGTCTTGACGTTCTTGTTGGGGATCTGGGGATCTTCTGTAATCCTGGCTCTCTTCCAGCAAACTTTGGTTTGTTTGTTTGTTTGTTTTAATTTCAGTCCGGGGAAACGCATTGCCAACGCCAAGAATGCTCTCTGACTTCTTGCTCCAGGGAAGAAAAAAAGGGAGACTCCTGTTGCACCCAGTGCCAAGGTGAGTGTTGACTCTTAGAACAAGGTTGTCGGCCGAGTCTTGGAGGAGACACAATACAGGTAGTCCTCGACTTACAACAGTTTGCTTAGTGACCGTTCAAAGTTACAACGGTACTGGAAAAAAAGCAACTTCTCACTCTTTTTCACACTTACGACCGTTGCAGCCTCCCCCTGGGTCACGTGATCAAAATTCAGACGCTTGGCAACTGACTCACATTTATGACCGTTGCTGTGTCCTGAGAGTCACGTGATCCCCTTTTGCGACCTTCTGACAAGCAAAGTCAATGGGGGGAAGCC